TCTCTGGGAACCTGAATGGAGATTCTAAAAGATCATTTTTAGCCCTATCTTATACTATGTACAATTTATATTTATTATAAAACAATTGCAAACATTTATTCAATCCTTTTTGTATACCACATACTGTGTTAAAAGTACTTGCGTGCCTCCATCTCAGTTCATCCTCTCACCAAGCCTGTGAGGCCGATACTGTTTGGATCCTCACTCTTTGGAGGAGGACATAGAGGACAGCTAGATTATGTCACTTGCCCAACATGACCAGGTCAGTAAGCAAAGGAGCCAGGATTCCAACTCTGCTGGTGTGATTCCGGAACTAGCTTCTTCTCTGTGTCTATATTGCATTGGTTACAGTCGCTTTAAAATAACAAGTGACCTTATTATTTTCCTAATAAAATAAAATAAAATAAAATAGCAAATTATTTAATATCTCAAGGAAGGACCTTGAACATATGTGATGGTCTTCAGAGAGGCTCAGAGAGCAGTGATTTTTTTCAAGGGCGTAAACCAGAAAAAAATGATGCCTTCATCTAGGGACTGTCTGCATCCATGCTGACAATAAGCCTTTTAAGGGCAAGGCCCACATTTGTTCATCTCTAATGCTATGTCTGGTGGAGTATCTAGATCACGGTTGTGCAGGTTGTCAGTTGACTGCGTCTGCTTGCGATCCATCCCTCTTTGCCTCCTTTTGTCGTGCTGCAGCTGGACCCTGACGATGATATTTCTCCTTTGCCAGCTGATGCAGCTTTGGCTTTGTCAGCAGAGGGCACCGGAGGGACACTTGAAGGGTTGTCTTTGGGGTTCTTGTGCTTTTCTTCTTGCTCCCGAGGCACAGTGGCCAGCGGTCAGCTTCCAGCGCAAACCTCCAGTGAGTCGCCCTGGCTGGGCCGGGCACACAGGCTGCTTCTAGGGACGCTTGTCGCTTCCACTTGGGAAACTCCTTGAAGCGCTCCAGTGAGATCCACCTCCATCCTTGGGCCACAGACACCCCTTTGCTTGTGGAGTCTGAATCTCATCCCTGAGAGAAGGCCCTCTCTCAAGTTTCTTCCTTCCTTGAGTACTTGCCTTAGCCTTGGGACAGAAGCTGCTCTCTCCATCTTCTATGCCAGTATTGCTTCAAGATCTCTCTACCCCCTCAGTAGTTAATCCCTCTTTATTAGTTAATAATTCTTCCCATTAAAATTTCCCTGTTCTGATGACTGGTGTGGTCTCAGTTTGCAGACCTGACCCTCACGAACTCAATGCTAGATGTTAAATAAATGACCAGTGAATGAATGAATAAGGGAGGGAATTGAGGAAATGTGCTTCATTTTCAACATATTCCTGCTGCTTATTCTTGAGGACTCGACGGTATGGGGTAGCCCTCTGCCCTGCCAAACTCTTCCAAATGTTCAGGTTGTTGAGAGTTATGAAATTTCAAGCAGTCTATAAAACCTACCTATCTTCTTCTCTTCAGGTAAATATTCTATGACAGATTCCAGTGGCACCACGGATAGGGAAACAAGTTCCTCTCTCATATGTCCCCTCTGCACACCCGCCCTGGATTTACAATTTGGTCCCATAATATCAGAAATAATCCAGCCAGTCCTAACACCTGCCCCATTTCCCAGGTCACACTCGGGGCTCCTAATGGAGGTGTTTTTTTATTTGTTCATTTTCAAAGATTTTATTTATTTGAGAGAGGGAGAGTAAGCATGGAGTGAGACCAGAGGGAGGAAAGGCAGAGGGAGAGGAAGAAGCAGACTCACCGCTGAGCAGGGAGCCTAACTTGGGACTCAATCCCAGGACCCCGGGAACACGACCTGAGCCAAAGGCAGATGCTTAGCCGACTGAGCCACCCAGGCACCCCCACAGGTGTTATATTTTGAGAAAGCCATAGATCTTACTGTTTACTTCTGTAGGGAACAGCTGAACTCTCAACACAGTTGATATTGCAGACTACAACAGTCCTGTTTTTACAATCCAAACAGAACATGTTAGTGTATGAAGACATCCCTGTAACTCACTTTGGAGGAGAAAGCTCTGGGTCAAGGCATATCAGTAAAACTGCTCTTATATTACCTCTGGGTAAGATTAACAAGAGAATTTCTCTTAAGGCAGGAAGATAGGGAATGCCAAAGTCCCAGTAATGTGCGTTTCTGTGTCTACACCTACATCCCTAGACACAGCAACCAAGTGAGCCAAATCCTGAAATTGAACACACTTCCAAACAAGGAGGGCCCAGCCCTTCATTAAGGCTGATAGAGGAGCACATCAAGGACATGGTGAGGTTTTGCTTGTTTACATAATAAAATAGACACCAGTGTTTAGCTGCTGAATGTGTAAATGTAGCCTGTGTGACAGTGGGTAGCTCAGAGGGAAGGAAGCAATTTAGGAAATACCTCCTTCCCACATCACACACATTCTCAGAGCCATCAGAAGACCCCAAAACTAGGCCCTACAGTACATGTGTTTTATAAAGCAAACCGACCCTCCAGCTTCAGGCTGTGTGTGACCTGGTTTCTCTTTTTAATTTTCTAACTGGGGTGGAAAGCTAACAGTGTAGTATGTCATGGTCAATATTCAACCACAGAGTGGGTACAGTGTTACAGAAAGATCCCGGTAGTCATTTTAGTGCATTTCCCCATAACTTGAGAGAATGTTCAATGGATCACTGGGGTCCCGAGTGCCCTGTGTCAGATCCCCACATCTCAGGCTTAGAGTTCTCTGACTGGGTTTTAGAGTAAATTTTATGTACAGTAGCAAGGGAGTTTCTTTCTGGGGCTGGAGGACAGGTCTGAGGAGTGGAGTGGGAAGGTGGGGGTGTGCCGCTTTTCACAAGCCATTATTGCAATTTTAACAGTTGTCAAACAAATGCCTAATGATTTTGAAAAAGAGAAGTTACAAGTCCCATGGTTAGGTTGGGCTTAAGCATTCCTATATTGCACTACAGCTCCTTACAGATCATTTTTGTTAATTTGTACAAGTGCACATGAAGGCACGTCTTCGAGGTATCACTATCACCGTACTCCTCAATATAATGGCAACCCAAGGGTATTTAGGGTTAGGATTCTCCTCCCCTCTCCATTCCTTGGCAGCTAGGACATCACTCAGATAAACGTGGAAGGCAGTGACTTCAGTTACGCTTTTCCCTTTTGCTGTCAAGTTCACACGTAAGAATCCGATTCTCAGCCAGCCTAACCCTCCGAAACATTTAGGGCATAGAGTTACTTTTTTTTAGTTGGTTCAGCCAAGATGAAAATTTTCGAATCCCTGTATAAAATGCATTCCAGTAGCAGTAGTGTTTATCTTGTCACTGAATTATGGTAGGAAGATAAGAGGGTCATTGTCAGAAAGTGATGAAGGCGGCGGGGGGGGGGGGGATGCTCAGAGACCCTGGGTGTCTCACCTTTTCCTGGCTGTCTACTTTTCAAGTCTTGTTTAGAAATAGTTATGAATTAAGAGTTTGGGGATGGGGGAGCGAGAGGGAGGAATGAAGTGAAGACAGTGGGAGTTAGGGAGACAATGCCCTCAGGCTCCACAGTGATGAGAGTTTCAAAGGATGGGAGGGGGCCAATGTCCTCAGGGCCCTTCCATCAGAATCTGCTAAAAACATTGGAGGCTTTGCAAACAGTGGTGGTTGCCTGTGGGATCTGCATCATTACATTCATTATGCATGATTAGTAGCAAACCAACTAAAAGAATTCACCAAGCCCTCAGAACAGATGGTTCCTGGGTAACAGGATGTCCCCTTGTCTTTGAACAAACTGTGTCTTTGAAAACACTAAAGTCGTAATACAGGATCCCTCATTGGGTTTCTTCATCTTTGGGAAGAAGACCAGTTGCTTTGAGCCAGTGTTTTTCAAAAAATTGTGATTGTAACCCATTAATGTTGTGACCCAATTTAATGGATCTTTGACCAGCATTTTTAAATGGAATGTAATGGAAAAAATGCATTGTCTGTGTATAGCTTCCTGCTGTTTTTGTTTTAGTTGTGTGTGTATACATATGTATGTGCTGGGTTGTGATAGAAAATGTAGTTCTTACTGTGGATCAAGCTCCAAAGAGTAGGAAAATATTGGGTTTAGGTGACATTAAAAGGAAAAGGAGTGATTGATGGTGGTGTGTAATTGGTAGAGTGGACAAACACTGCCCGGCCATTAATAATAGGTACTGCTTGTTGAGAGTGTATGTGTATGTGTGTGTGTGTGTGAATGTTTGTGTGTGTGATCTGATTCTTTCTAGGAAGAAACAGTATGCTTTCTCCTAAGAATAAGAAGTCCTAAGATTTAGGGGTGCCTAGGTGGCTCAGTTTTTTAATGTCTGCCTTCAACTCAGGTCATAATCTCAGGGTCCTGGGATCAAGCCCCCTTGTTAGGGCTTCTTGCTTAGCAGGGAATCTGCTTGTTTTTCTCCCTCTCACTCTGCTCTTTCCCCTGTTCATGCTCTGTCTCTCTGCAAATAAATAAATAAAATAAATAATAAACAAATAATAAATAAATAAATAAATACAATAAAAAGAAGTCCTAAGATTGAGAAGTTTATTTAAAGAGATGCTGCTTAGTATGAAAATAATATCAGAAAATCTGATGGGCAAATTAATATCCTTTGTTAGGCCCTTGAGATGAAAGAGATACACCCTTTGCCATTGACTACAAGTTGTAAGTCCTTAAATTTTTTTTGTGGGGGGGTCATAGAATGTTTGCCTCAGCACAAGCTGGTCAACTGTATGATAGTAGCATAAATTTTCATAATTTTTACTATGAAGAAAAAATATCAGTTGATTTAGTTATGATACTTGGCTATTCAGGGGGCAAATCCCTTGAACGTACTTCCCTGATGGATCCCTAGAAGAACACTAATATTGCCTTAGGTTTCCAAACAAAATGAAAAAGGTTTCTACCTTAGCTTTCCTGTCAGCTTTTACGGTATCCTCTGGTGACAAGGTGTGTCTAGAAAACACAGGAGCCTCACCTGTCAGGTGCGCAGGGGAAAGATGGGGGAGACCTTCCACAGGAAGATGAGACTGTGTTGTTTTAAAACTCAGAGAGACATTATCACCTTTTAGTGGAACATTTATTAATACCTGTAAGGTGCCAAAAAAAGAGCAACAGTGATGTAAAATGATAGACGTCTTCTTCATCAGAGGTCTGCTTTGTAGCCCATGGTCTTGGTTGGTTTAGGCAGTACGTTCCCCAAGGCTGAGGAGTCGGGCTCTGTCACTTCTGACACAAAGCAAGGACCTTGATCTTTAGGACCACTTGATGTTCTAGTCAGTTTTTGATAATTCCACACTGTTGGCTGGAGGAGGCTCTAATTATCATCCCTCACAAGGAAACAGATCACTAACCACCTCCATGTTGGGAACAATCAAAAGCATAAATGCTCCTGAGGCGTCATACAGAATATCAGGCAATTCTTAACAGTTGGCCTGAGAATGAATCCAAACGAGAGGCATGTGACAAGCAGATGGCTACGTGACTTTCTCAAGGAAGAGAGAGAGCACAACAGCAATGCTCCATCCATGTTTAAGGAACTAGAGCCTGTTCCTTGTGGCGGGGCATCTGACAACCACCCCGCCGCCCCAACAAGACCTGACAGGCTCTTTTCCCAATTTGAAAGCAGTGCCCCTGAAGCCGACATGGTTCTACGGTTGAAAATAGTAGGTTTACCTCACCATGTCCTCTGACACCTTGATAGGGATTTATCTTACACTGGGTGTTGCAAATTCTTCCAGAACCTGGGTTTCTAGGACTTGCTGTTTGTTCAGCGGGAACCTATACAGTCTGCGTTTTCACTTGACTGAAGTAAATGAATCCACAGCGTCTTTCATCATAAATATAATGCCCTGGGAAAGAGTACAGCAGTGAACCAGACAGACAAGGTTTCCAGGGGCCCCGGTACCCAGGACAGTGCCTGGCACAGAGTAGGCACAAAATACATATTCACTGAATGAATGCATGAATAATGACTGGGCGGAGGTTGTGGAGGCCACCGTAGTGTTTCTTCTAACTGCTTTGGATCTCTGAAACCACTGACCTCTGTCTCATCTGTTAGCAACATTTAATTTTTCTTGGCCAGTGTTATATTTGAATTTGATTCATACACTAAAAATTATGGACCATTATAAATATCTTAGATTTCCTCTCTCGGTACCCTTTTCTGCCAGATCTTCAGAGTAAGGAGATGTTAAACCACACTGCACGATCCCCATCTTGCCCGTAAGGATTTACTAAAATAACATAGAATTGTCTTATCCAAGTTACAAAAACAAAAAGTTCTGAATGCAGAATGATATTATGAACCATAGTGTGAACTTAGTTCAGTTCCTCAGTTGCACTGTTGCTTTGAACTTTAACAAATTGTCTTCCCCCCATCATAAACATGACAATTCAGTTAGTAAAGAATTATTTTTCCATTAGTCATGTCAATTTCTTACACCATGAGCTAATATTCTCAACAGTTTTTATCCACAGTTATATCTTTGCTTCAGAGTCCCCACTTTCAAAGGAAAATTGGTAATAGCACAATAGAAAATGAAGTACAATCTCTTTTTATAGGTAAATATAGTATAAGTAGTAGATAATTGAAGAACTTATACATCATAGCCTATTATTTTATTCTCAGTGGCTGAATGCCAATCAGTTAACTGCCTTTTGAGCTCTATATTTTTAAATGTGACTAAAACATACAATCTCACAGTAAATGTAAATGGCTTATTAAGGGCCTTTACATGGCAACAGTATCATATGTCAGAGATGAATGGTGTTTCTAATTTGCTAGCCACTTGGGTCAAGTTTACCTTAAGCAGGAAGCATATTTATACAAGTAATCGTAACACAAATGGTCTCTTGAGAAAAGCTGTTGGTGAGGGTTTAACATTTTTGAAGTATGCTTTTGGATCTCTTCTAAATGGGTATTTTATAGCCACTGGGCCAAAGCGCCTTAAATCCATGATCCGTCACATCAGCGTCACTGCTGCTGACGCTGCCTAAACGCTCAGGAAGTCTCGGGGTGTGTATGTTTCTAAGGGGGAGGCAAGAGAGGGTCAGGGGGCTTGAGCCACGTTCCTTTGCTTCAGCACTTTGCTACATAAAGTGGGGGTGGGGGAGAGGGCAGCAGCCCCTGCAGCCCCCAGGGCATGTTAGAAATACAGACTGCACCCCAGACCCACTGCCCCAGAATCTACACTCGATCTCAGTCTGCTTGTGATTTTTAAGTCTTGCCTGGGACCCCAGTTCCTCTGTTCTCTGGGGACTGGGCACAAGTCATGGTGTCCGTCTCTCTTTCCTCCTCACTTCTGGAATCTACCTCTTTCTAGGAAAGCATCCCCTCAGCCCACATTTCCTTTCTTTCTCAGCACTCCCACACTCCAGACCCAAATGAATTTACCAACATTGGATGTTTTTGCTTTTATCAAGAGCCCACTTCTTATGCTGCCCATCTGACATCATCCTGGGGCTTCCTGCTCCCAAATAATCTTGGGAAAGTCAAGGCATCGTAAGGACTTCCAAAGCTATGGATGCATTCTGCTTTCTTGCGACTAAGCCTCCCATTCTTTGTTAATTCTGCATTGAGAGCCCATCCTCCTAAGCTGTCCACCAGAACCCAATCTCCATTTGCCATTTTAGTCCCTTCTCTTTGGGGCGGGGGGTTGATTTCTTTGTCCCAGTTTCCACTCATGGAACACTGCCTTCCCCTAACCTAGTCATAAACTTCTCTGTTAATATATGTGGGGAACTGAAAGGACGAAAGGGCATCATGCGAGATGTTTGGGGGAATCACCAACAGAGTTTACTCAGTAGAGGGAATTGTATGCAGTTACTAATGACCCACATGGCAGGCCCCTGAACACACTTCATTTGGCCACACCTTTGCTTTGAGAGGCTCAGCCTATAGCAGGTGCCCGGAGGCAACTGGACATCCACACACCCAGACTGACCAGCCAGTTGGCCCCTAGAAGCAATTTGTTCCCTCTGCTCCAAACTGTGCTGGGCTAAGAGGCTCTGCAAAAAAAGTGAATGGGGCATTTAGAAGCGCATTGCTTACAGAGTCAGGCTCTGTGGGCCAGGGGTTAATGCAGCCATGGTCAAGGGAGCAATCTGGGGTCAGTTGGGTGAGGATCCCCTCAGCCTCCTCTGGAGTGGTCGGCACCCAGAAGAGATTTCTTTAATCAGAGGAGACTGGCAGGGGGAGAAACAGAATTGCTTTCTGGCCATAGTGAGTCCGAGGACCGCGTTTGCAGCTTCCATTCTTCTTGAGACCTACAAACCAATTCTTTTCGGCGTGCTTCTTGGATGTATAGGTGTTGTAATGGTTTTCTTCCAGCCTTTCCAGGAACAGACATTCCTCATTTGGTGTCTGCTAAAAAGATAAGACGGGAGAGAGGAGAATTATTAGTGACTGGTTTTCGGTGTGGTTTCTCTGTCTGCTAGCCACTGTGACCTGGGGCCAGTCTACGGAGTATCTTTGTGCTTTGGTTTCTTTCTCAGGAAAAGCGAGATTATAATGGGACCTGTTTCTGAGGGAAGTGGTAATGGTAATGACTTAGAACAGAACCCAGCACCTAGTGAGCCTTCAACTTCATTTACTGTTTTTGCAAGTTCCCCTTCCTTCTGCTGTCCTCAGGACCCTGGAGTTCCCTGCTGGGGAGGTCCCGAATGATCAGCCATAGCACATCAAAAGCAGGGCTGAGCCTTTCGTCTCTAAAGGCTGGCACATAGACATGACCCTGAAAAATGGCCAAAATTGGTTAAACCAAACTGTGATGTGGTGGGGATTTTTAAGTTTGGACTTGAAAAATAAATGACAACCTACTAATATTATTTTATATCCTGGCAAGTTTCACTAACAGTATCAGGATTTTTATGTTAACATTGTTTGGGATATAAATACTTGCACAAAATGTGTCTTAAGCATAAAACATTATTCTGTAACTTAAAGGTTTTAAAAACTGAACATAGCTTTATTTTTTCCTATGTATAAAAAATATCTACTCATACAAAGAATTGTCCTTTTTTTTTTTTAAAGAATTGTACTTTTAAAAATCACAACTTTACTTTAAAAAGGAAGGAAAAATTTAAAATAAAACAACAACACCCCAAAGCCACCCACCCAGGTATAAGGACTGCTAACAGTTGATGGAACATACTTTCACATATCTTTACGTATGTACACACAGAGGGACATAGATAAGGCCATATGGATAGAGACTGATGATGTTAGCAAAATGGCATGCTATCCCTGCTTTTAAAAAGAAGTGGGAAAGAAACCTATGAAAACATTCAATCTCACAAGAAAATGCAAATTAAAAACAATATAACAGGTTGGCTATAATATCTGCAAAGAACAAAAAAAAATGCAATGCTTGGTATTGTGAAAGCATAGGACATAGGCACTTCTGTGCACTGTTGGTGAGATAAATTGGTGACAATTTTCTCAGGGTAGTTTGGCAATATGTTTTACCTTTGACCCAGCAATTTCATTTGTAGGAATTGAGCCCTAGGAGATAGTCGAGCAAGTATAAAACGTTATTTTCAAGGATGGTCTTTGCAGTACCGGGTATAATGGGAACACACTCGAAGCAACCTACATCTTTATGGAAAGGTGATTGGTGAAGTGGCTAGGGGCGCACCCATGCAGTGGAATCCAGTGCAGTTGCCAATTTATTAATATGGAAAGATCACTAGGACACATTAAATAGTCCAGTTACTTGAAAAATAGCTACCAACAATTACTGTTTTACTTGGAATTCATCTGCTAGAATGTGGTAAGAAGGACCCCAGGTATTTGGCTTCCTATTTCATCAGGATTTTCTAATACATTTGTTATACTTGAAGATAAAATACTTAGGCTGTATATCAACTTTGTGCCAGTTCCTAGTCACGTGATCTTAGTATTATCTCTTCACTCACAGTGGTGGGTGATGCCCTTCCTGGTGGTTTCCAGTCTTGTTGTTCATCATTCTTTATTCATGGGCATGTTCGTGTATGTAGCTGTAAGCGTCACTGAAGGAAGAGGTGGAAACTTGTCAGCCTTGCATCTACCCAGCTGACGCAGAGTCTTGTGAAGGATAGGTGCTCTCCAGCTAGGTGGTGACTTTCATTTGCTTCTTGAGAGTGTGGAAAGCAGTCCATAAAGTTCCCTTTGGTTTGTAAGGAACTCTGGAATAGGAAGTCTCCTGCTCCTTATTCATTTGTAGTCTAGTGGAGTAACATCTGGGTGAGACACTTTGGATCCTTTCAGAACAAGATGGGAGATAAGGGTAATATCTGATTGGGTGACTCTTGCTATCTCTGCAGGAATTTATCCAGACATTAGTGTTTGATGCATATTGCCGGGTGTGGAAGGGGGTGGGCAGTGATGGACCTGCGTGGGTTGCTCACTCCCGTGTAGGGAGGGTCCCCCATGACACCCCTCAGTGGGCGTCAGGCCTGTGTTCTGTGACGAAGCTGAGGACAGCCACGTCCCTCACCTGACGTCTGTGTTACACTAGAGCAGTTGACACACACAGAGCGGCTGAGTCACAGGCTGAGTCAGCAGGCTGCATCAGGGAACTTCGTCTGTCCCTCCACCAGGATTTGTCAGTAGTTGTTATGCATTTGGTGCGATGCCAAGGGCCTGGAGATTAACAGTTGATTCATAACTATTTTTAAGATGATTTTTTAATATTTAGCTCTCTTTTTTCCCTACTATATGGGTGACATAGGCCTACTGTAGAAAATCTGGATAAGACAGGCTCACATATTATAACATTGGATGGTTATCACCCCTAGAGATAACTATATTAATATTTTGATATATAGTCTTTCAACTTATTTTCTAAAATAACATGTCCTTTCCCCAGGCATAAAAATTTGTACCAGGGTGGATTAACACCTAAAACTGGTTAGACATGTGAGGCAGAGCTCGGAGATATTTTAGAACTTATCATTATTGGTGGAGAAATATATAAATTATCAGATATAATATATTAAGATTACCCTCTGAATATTTCACGTGAAGCATGGGGATGGCCAGGACTATGGTGGGAACCTAGAGGAAATTGGATTTGGGGATTCTCCCTCAGTATTTTTATACAAGTAAAAGATGGTTATATTAAATGACAAAACTGATTTAAAAGAGGAAAAGCCATAAACTATAAGTATAAACTGGAAAATAATGAGGATAAGGGATTTATAAACTTATTATTCGTCTTCTAGCTCTCACTGATGGGGCACCTCACACGTGTCGGCAACATTGGTGGGTGGGTTCTGTGCACTATCTCTCGGACCCCTCTTAACGCCTCTATGTGACAGTCACCACCCATTACTAGCCTCATTTTAGACAAGGCTCAGAGGAGGCAAGTAACTTGCCAAAGTTGCAGAAAATTTTCAGTTTTGAGTCTGAGATTCAGTGATTGATCAGTTGATTGATTTTATCACCAAGAAGAAAAACCACCTAAAAAAAAAAATCTGCTTTCTATGTAACAGCTACTGCCTAGCTCCAAACCCTTTAAAATGACCCCATTTGATCCGTATTTCAGTGAACAGCCTACAGGAGGCTGCTCATTGCTCTGACAGTGTTGTCTCCTGACCCCTAGCAGGCGGCATGAGAAACCAAACTGTGTTCACATTCCGAACCCTGCCTGAAGTTACAGCTTCAAGAGGCAGTCTTCTGTGCCCACTGCCCCTTGGCAGTTTGATGTAAGTTAAAGAGAGGTTCAGACCAAAACCCCCTACTAGCTGCCTTTTTGTAGACATCTTCTTCATAAAAGGGAAGAAAGGGGTTTGGCCAAGCCTCAATGATCAATTGTTAAGATATAGAGAAAGGATCATTGAAATGTGGAAATAATTTCAAACCTTGGGCCCACTGGCTTTAGTTCTCTTTCCATTTAAATCTTCTACCAGAGATACCAACAGGGGCAAAATTACACTGTTTCTTTTCTTTTCTCCCTAAGACCGATGTATATACTGAGTCAAACCCGTGTAAAGCATTACCAAGGAGAGGGTCGGAGCAGAAGATGTGGAGGATTTTTAGCTCCTGAATAAACTCTGAGGCCGTGCTTCTCAAGGACATGTGGCCCATTCATCATCACATCCCTTCAGGCCTTAGACATGGGAGCCACTTGCTAAATATTTGTTGGATGACGAGTCGCACGCTGGAGTCTCTACAGTTTTTGTGAGAAGCGTAGAGAACACACAGCCTATGGTGTTGCTCCAGAAACATTGTGGGAATGAATGAATGCAGTGGGAATAGGTATTCTGAAATGACTGACTGAGGAGTTACTGAAATTTCAATCAATGTCTCCTCTGTGTCCAGGCGATAGTATGTTTGAGTATTTTGAGAGAGCACCACAAGAAACTCTTTCATGCCTGCGCCTAAAATAAGGCAGGGTAGAGGGTGGGAATCCTGCTGGAAAAAACAACAAGCAGAGACTAATTGTTGCTTTCTAGTTTGCATCACTCAACGTAACACGATTTCTGGAAACCTCAAACCTTGGCCGTGTCCGGAAGCATGTCAGCCTCATACTTACTGAGCCGTACAAAAGCCCATCGGTGTCCATGGCCAAGTACTGGCCAGTCTCGGTACTCTTTATGTACACCTCCCCCACGCTTTCCGCACGGAGCTGCAGCTGAACTGAAACAAAAATAACACAAGCAAAAGTAAATAAACACTAAACCTTTGCCGATAGGGCCTGGCGGCCAGGACAGTTAGCCATGGAAAATTTTGCTCATTCATTTCTCAGTGCCCTCAAGGATGAGCCTCACAGTAATCAAAACATAGAAATACAGTTCCTTTTTCTTTGCCCTCCAAAGAAAGCTGCCCTTTGGGAATGATGTTCTTGAGAGAAGGAGAGATGATGATGGGCGTGCCTGCCATCCCCCTGTTGGTTACAGAATGACCCCTCATGCTCTTCCTCTGTCTCTATCCCCTCCTGGTGGGGAATCACCATGGGAGGAAGCGACATTCACTTCCCTGGGTGCTGCAGAGTGGGCAGCTGGCCAGCCTGACTGTGTTCCACTTTAATTAGCAACCTGCTTTGGGAGGGCTTTTTAGGGCCCCAACCTGTTCGGCGTGGGAGCTTCTTGTGGACAGATTGTTATTTTTAAAAATCCCATAGCGTTTTTTTCCCAGACAGAGAGGTCCCAGGAAGTCGGACCGGTTAGTGCATCTGAAACTCAGGGAATACTCCCACTGTGAAGTTCAGTCAATGGCCAGCCTCTGTGGCAGCCCAGCTGGGACAGAGGCTGATGGGAACCCTGACTTCTCATCGGGAAGACAAAGTGGATGTCTGGAAATTCAGGGATGGGAATGGTGGTTCTCGTCCTGGGGTGATGTTCGCCAGGTGACATCTGACCATGTCTGGGGACATTTTGGGCTGTGTTGGCTACAGTGCAAATGGTACATCGAGGCCAGGGATGCTGTGACATGTTCTGCAATGCTCAGGGCGGCCCCCACAACAAGGAATTATTGGGAAACTATGAGCCAAGGCCAAGGACCTGAGTTCCTCTGAGTTAGACTCCCCATTTACACTGGTTAATACCCTAAGGAGCCTTGCCCACTGCTGGACCACTATCTGGAGTATAGCAGCCATTCAATAATTCTTCATTTGTTCATTCTCTCCTAGTGGCTCTCGAGGGGGAAGATCCTTTGATGGCTCACATTTAAGAAGCAAAATTAATTCTGGGCTCTCTAGATGATGTCTTTGGTGACTAGACTGTCACAACCATCGTGATGACTAGGGGTAAAAAATCTAGCTGAGGACCAGTGAGCACCCCGTTCTCCGGGAGGACAAGCTGGCCTCCCTAAGGGTCGGCTTAGTCAGAGGCTGGGGGGCAGGGTGGGCTAGAAGGAACATGGGGCTCTGGTTGGCAGCTGGAGACCCCTCATTGCTTTTCCTTGTTTTCCTGCTTTAGTTAATTTCTTTGAATAGGAAATACATTCACCTGTTTCGAACTTGGAAACCGTGTAAGAGGAGACAGAGTGTTCCTTCTGTTGTCTCTGTCCCCCAGCCTCCCAGGTGCAACTGTTGGGGATACAGTGATAAACAGGACAGATGAGACACTTGTCCTTCCTCCCAGAACACATTCTCTGGTGCTGGGGAGAGGCAGAGATAAATGAGTAAACCCCTCCTAGATCTATTTTATGTGTACCCTTCTAGAGAGCTTTTATGCACATCTGGGAAATACATGTTATCCTTCCTGCTTTTTTTATTTTTTAACACCAGTGGTATGATACACACACAACTGTGTACCTTGTTGTTTTGTTTGTTTGCTTAACAACCAACTAGAGATCTTGCCAGTTAAGCACTGAAAGAGTTAACCTAGTTCTATCAGCCAGCTGCTCCGTGTTCTACTACGTGGCTGTACCATAATCATTTAACCACTTCCTTATTAATATGTTTGTATTTTCCCATTTCCTTCTGTTTTCCTTATCTTCTGATTCATCCCAAAAGTGATACATAGTTACTCACCCTTACTGAAGATGCGGTTCTCTTGTCCTTGGATGTGTTTGCTACAGAGACTCGGGTCTCCTCTAGCTTCCTGTGGTCAGTGCAGTTTATCTAATTCACAGGAAGGAAACTGGAAGCCACTGATCTCCTTTCCCACGGGTCCTCCTGACTTGGGTTAGTCCAAGAGGGTAGTCATGAGAGAACGGGCCAGAAGGCCTCCATCATGATCTGGGCCTCCCCTCTAGCCTCACACCACACCACTTGCTCCCTCACTCAGCCCGCCCCACCCATTTAACTCCCCCGACACGTCAGACTCTCTCCCACCTCAGGATTCCTGCCCACGCTTTGTCTGGCACCTTCTTCCCCCTGATGTTGACACGGTTGGTTCTTCTCCCCGCCCCGGGCCCCAGCCTAAACGCCCCCTCCTCAGGGAGGCCTTTCCCACCAAGGCCCCCACAACTGTCTATACACAGCCTTGTCCCTGCCAGTGCCACCTGAGTTCCCCCATCGTCCTCTTTCTCAGCCTTTTGTTTCCTCTGTGGCACTTTATGTGGCAAACACCTATTTTTGTCATTTAGGCATTTGCTCCTTTGTTTCTGCCTCCCCAGGAGAATGTGTACCTGGGGAAAGAGCAGGGATCTTCTCTATCTGATTGTCCGTAGGTCTGAAGCCCCTCACGCTGGGCCTTGCCCACTGGCTCAGCCAAGATAGATTTGTCTAATGGACAATGTTAGGCCAATATTTGCAGAGATGAACCTGCTGTCCATCATCAGTAAACTGTGCACTTTGAATTGTGTCTCCAGTGATGCTTTGTGGAATGAAGTAAGAGGGACCGAGCTGAGCATTCCAGGCTCTCCCACCAGCCTGCTGGGTGACCTTGGCGAGGCTCCTTAACCTAGAGGCCACAGTCTCTTTATCAGTAAGAGGGCAAGCCTTTGTGTCTAGCCTCTAAAGTTTTCCCCAACTCTAAGAGTCTATGAAGCAGTAAATACCTTTCACAGCAATGCTGCATGCAACAGAATATTGTTCGGCCCTAAAAATGAACAGAGCACTATTACATGCTACAGTGTAGATGAGCCTTGAAAACATGCTCAGTGCAAAAGCCGGTCCCAAAGGACCATATATTGTATGGTTTTATTTAAGTGAAATGTCCAGAGTCGATGGACGCATAGAGATGGGACATAGATGAGTGGTAGCCAGGGCTGAGGAGGAAGGTGGGGAGAGCAAAGGGGAAATTCCAGTTGAGAGATCCAGGATTTCTTTTGGAGGGGATGAAAATGTTCTAAAATTGACTGTGGAGATAGTCACAAGTCTATGAATATATATATGTAAAAAACCCATCAAGTTGTACACCATAAGTGGGTTAATTCTATGGTATATGAATAATACGTTGATAAAATTGGGGTTTTTTAGCGCTTTGTGCTTTCATTGGCTCTTATGGTCTTCAGAGAAGTTTTACATATATTTCTCTGCCATTTTCTCGGCATAATCTTGATGCTTAAGAGAGACCGAGGGAAGGGACTGACTGTGTGGGATCACCTAAGCGTGCCAGGCGTCGTGCTAGTTTCTGTTCTGGTATAAACAGTATAAAATTAGAGTATGGGTTCCAGAATCAAACCACACGAATTCAAATTCTGGCTTGGCTGTGTATTAGCTGTGTGATCACTGGGCAAGTTATTTAGTTCTTGTTGCCTTATGCATGATGATAGCACCTGCTTCATGGAATTGTTTTGAGGATTCAGTGATGTAATGCATAGAGAGGGCCCAGGACCATCACTGTCATTTCCCCCGAGCTACGGTGACTCCATTGCTTTTCCCAGCGTTGTCTGGAGGAAGGTGGCAGTGACTTTGTCCTATAGGTGAGAAGACTGAAGCTCGCTGATGACATGTTTTACCCAACATTTAATGTTGTGACCAGGGCCCAGCTCTGAGTATTGCAAGTATCCTGTGTTTTCTTCTCTTTAAGACCACACCTTGGCTCCAGTGATGGGAAAGATGACTCCAAATCCAGCCAAATTCTCTTTTCTTGCACCCTCTTGTGTTCAAGGTCAGAGAAGATGTACAAGATGGCAAATGGTCATCCAGTATCCCACTTGCAGCTCCTGGTTAGCTGCTGGGACTTTTTCCACCTGCCCACACATTATATAGATATTTATTCAAACACATTATAGGTGCTACAGAAATCCCAAAGGACAGGTCCTTTTTTGTAATCAAGGAAGATTTAAAAAAAAAATAAACTTTATATTTCCAAGCAGTTTTAGGTTCACAGAAAAAATGAAGGGAAGGCAGTGATTTCCCCTGTGTCCCCTGCTGTCACACGTGTGATGTGTGTCCCCATCACAGTGGTCCATTTGTTACAAGTGATGGACCTACACTGACACATCATTATCAGCAAGGAGTGTTTTTAAAAAGATTTTCATTTCCTAGCTCATTTCTGTTCTCTGCCTTCCTTAGTCTCCGTTCGTCTTTCTGGGGTGGGGGGCAGGTAGAGTCAACTTCGTTGTCTGTGGACTCCCATGATGGCCACACGAAGGTAACCATGAGCCAGAGCTGCTTGGCACAGGACTCGGTCCTCGGCCATGAGCCCCAACGCCAGGCTTGTTGCACTGGTGAGAGTTCGTCTCAAGAGTTTCCTCTGTAAATATTATTTCTCCAGGATGTCCAAGTTTCATAGCTCATTTTCACTGGATTTCTTTCTGGCTAAGTTTCCTAAACATATATCCTTTGCGAGCGGGCCTGGCAGGAAGGAGTAACACCCAGCCGAGGCTGCTCGTGGAACCGATGAGGTGTCCGGCTCCCTCCAGTGACTTCATCCACTCTTCTCAACCTCCAGCTCTGGCAGCTGTTGCCCAGGAGGAGCGGGAAGGAGTGCGTGTGAGAAAGGGGGCTCCGAAAGGGGAGGGGAGACCACACAGCCTGGCCCAGCACCAGCTCCTCCCTCTCACAACAGCACCAGGGTTTGGAAGCTGCTCAGTCCACACACATTCCCTGGCCATCCATCCCTGGCGTGCTGAGAACCGCGCCCCGGGCCACACAGGGACCCCACGCTGGGAGCCGAGGGGGCTCAGACCTGTGATGGTAAATATGCCCACTTGAGAAATCCCGCTCATTTTTCAGCTAGAAGGAAACACAAGTGCAACACCCACAGCAGAAACTCTCTCTCTCATATGTATTAAATAGTATT